ACCTTACCAAATATCCGTCTTTGATAAAAACAATTCAAGCTTTCAAGAATCCTCGATCTAGAAGGAATCAAACTTGTACAGCACTACTACTTGGTCGTGAATTCCACCTGGAATGGGTGTGTCAGCAGAATTAAAACAACTTGTGAACTTGCTTTGTTATTAACTACAAGAGTTGACGACTTGATTAGCAGGACTAAGTACTTCTCCTGCTTAACTTATGCGAGGCAGACACGTTGGCTGTCTCACCATGCGAATCAACACACATTTGAAGTGTGTAAATGAAGACTCTGAAAGGTAGATAATGTTCACACAGGTTGGCAGCCAAAAGGAAACATTTCTTTCCTTCATGCTGAGTTTTTAACAATTTGTTTTGAAACTACACCATAATTCAGCAAATGCTGTTGCGAAACAGTGACAATAATGCCTAAAGTTATGATGATGTCCTTTTCACAATACCATGACCATGAATTTGCCATAGCTCAAAGCAGTTGTTTGAGCGAATTGTGAGTTCCTCCCTACTTCACGTGGTGGGTTCTGTAGAGTTGACATTACTTCATTTATAAAGTAACCATTAATTGAAACTTTCTATTGATGGTATTACATGAAAGCGGCGTTTAACCTGTACACCGGTTTTCAATCTTCATTGTCACGAATAAACCGGGTTTCACGCTTGGAACCGAATTGTCAACAGTGAATCCCACAACACAAATGCGCTTCACGTCCTTTTTCCAACTAATTATGTTGCTGTCTCAAGGTATGATCTCTTTGGTAACATTGTGATTTCGCAAACGCATAGTTAAAAATTTTGCTTTGAGTAAGTACAAATTTTCTTTTACCTGTGACCAAACATCAAGGCAATAATGACATTTTTGCAAAGCCATTGAAGAGGTGGATAAGCGAATGTCCTGGATAAAAAAAGTTTTTGATCGCAAATTTACTGACTATGAGTGGAAGTCTTGGAATTGCGCACATATAAGAAATGTGGACGTTTATGCGACTCCTAGGATAGAATGCGTAGAAATACTGCAGCAACAAATTCATATGAGTGCCTGTTTCAATTCATTCCATTTGCCAACTGCTATCATTTCTCCTCCACGTAGTCCTTACTCCAAATATTTGAAAGTCAAAGACAGAGGAATTTTAACCTGTTTGAATACTACTCTGTGGATGAAATGTCTCCGAAATATCTAGCTATATAAGCTATTAATCTCATGGAAACCGGCAGAAATCCAGGTAATTATTCTCTACCATGTAAATTTGTAGACACAGGAGGTTTGAAATATAACGACGCCCAACACGGTGATCGCCCGAAAGCGTAGCCTCAGTGGTTCCTACAATTATCGTTATTTGAAGGAAAAAACAGCATAATTTCAACCAACTGCAAACACGACTATCATTCATGATTAATTATCAATTCTTCTCCGTACAATTTATTCTGTTATCTTACTGATCGAATGACAAATCAGAAAAAAAACATATTCCCTTACACTTGTGAAACTGATGGTCGGCTGCATAAGAGAGAATTTGAGTTAGCCCGATAGCAGCTAGCTACCCTGTCTACTCTGCTCGAGTTTGACGAAATTGTAAATGCATCTTTTCTACTTATAATTACTCAAATAGATAGCGTTTATAACATTTCGAATCACTTAACTTTACTTTTCGCTCTCAATATATGTGTTTGCTTTTCAGTTGTTATGCAGATTTTATTCTTTCATCTAGGGCGATGCCGTTCTGTGGGGTTAAGCGATCATTCCACAGCATTTGCTGTGACAGTTGGTCACTAACGTCCCACACCCATCGGAACTACACGGTACCTTGAAATGGACAGTGGTTAACACTAGACAGCCTGTTAATTTTGGCAGGGGTGTTATCCTGCTAAAAGTTGCGATAACTTGTGCAATTGGCAGTTGATTGCTACTTGAGCTATGCATCGGCAGTGCTTGATACTTAGCACAAGTATGAGATGAAAGGGCTCACAGATTTGGATATCTCGGGACTTCCTTTACGTCGCTACTGCAGCAAACACAGTTGAATGTTGGCAACGACTACGGAGGCGTGGTCAGTAAATAGTTTGCACGCTAAATATGTATAAATCCTGGGGCCCCGGGGCATGTGGTGTTTGAGACGAAGGAGTGTCCACTTCGATGGACGTTTATTAAAAGACGAGTTGTAATAGGAATGCCAGATTTAGGGTGTGAACGGAAGATGTATTCTTTTACTCTGGGCAGATTTAGAGCAACGCAGTCAATTGCACACCATGGCTTACCATAGTGAAGTCTTTTATTTAGTGGCAGGGTGGTAAACGGTCTCCTTAGAAATGGTCACAATCGAAAAAGTGACATTACACAAGTTCTGAGAGGCAATTTCATTATTAGGCCAAATTTTCTGTTTCTGTGCAGAAATAGTTGAAAGTCTAATCTATTAACTTGACACATTTGATGATATTCGCAGTGATGCAGCCTCGTTCATACGTCTTTTTGCACGTGGTATGCCAATTAGAGGCTTTTTTTAAAACACCAAAGAGCATATGAGAGAAAAATGGAAGTGCACTTGGTACCTCGTTTACCACCTACTCCTCGCATTGATGTCGTTTGTTAATAATTTTGTACTACATTTTTATTGCTAATCCTTAAGTATATAGCATGGATGCGGTAACTAATTGGAGCTACCTAATAACCTGTTCAACCGCACTAGAGCCAACACAAATATGTAGGCTACTTTACTCCGTTCACTCCTGCTATTTATTGAGGCACTATCCGTAGTTGGAATGCGAAGGTATTTACAGAACTTTGAGCATTTATTTCACTCTCACAAGCAGGGCCCTTAGAGAAGGTTACACATGCTATCCACCACATTTTCAGTGTATCTTGATTCAGCGATATAATTGCTAGTCGGATTCAAATCAAACTACCAACACTTCCCACGTTAGTGCAAAGCACTCCTATGGTGGGATTGGAAGAACATTTAAATAAACTTTTGCATTGCCTTGAGTGCCCTGACCAATATAAATTTATAGGCGGTAGGATTTTCTATGGTTCTCTGTTACAGTGGAAGGAAAAAGTCGAATTCGGTAATTGAGGAGTCCAAGTTAAAATCAACTGTTTTCTCTTTGTTTGATGGGTTTTGCTGTGATCTTTTATTTGTGGTTGAACTTGAGTTCAAGACCGATATGCTACTGGACTTTTCATACTACATGCATTTAACGGAACTACTTCTGACCTCCTATTTTCCCCTGCAATTAGCAACAAATAAAAAGATAAATAAATGTATGCTTTGTGAAAATTATGTCTGCTTTCATCTTACTAAAATATCAGGTCTGTGAGTGCTTGTGATATTTTTAGTACTTGTTGCTACATTCAGATAAATGGCACGGCTGTTTAAATAACACCTTGAGTGAAGGAAGCTTTAAACAAATACTTGATCACCCCCTAATTCAGTTTTACACCCGGTGATTCCATGCGTGTTCTTTTGAAGAGGACGATGTATGGCTAGAGAGGTAGGGGTGGCCAAAAGGAGCGCTTATGTGTAAGCAACCAAAAAATCGCTCCAACTTAACCACTGCACGCGTTTCATGTTGTCGGGAAAAGTGCCATATTAATATTAACCTTAAACTCGATTTATGCTTACGCTTCGTAAAGTAGAAAAAATCAACTTTATTCGCCTTTGGAGTCTTCGCGATTGAACCTCCTAAAATATGCTTTGATCAAATGGACTACTGTTTAAAGGAAATATGCAACAGTGTTTGACATACGCTTTATTTTTTTTTTTAATCTTTTAAGATAAAATACTCACTCATTTATATAATGGTTAAAAAACTTGTTAATGTTAATTCTTTAGTCACTTCTAACCTCGGTAAACTCAGCCTGCTTTGGCTCAATTACCTTTTTATTTACTAAAATGCTAATTTGTAAGTTAAGTTGCCCTGCTTTGATAGTTTGTTAAGCTCTGCATTTGATCTTTCGGGTGCAGAAGTCTCATCAGATTGTACTTTCGCTCAATGGCATAGCCTCTGGGTCGTGTCAATAGCCTCTCCGTTCTTTTGTAGGCTAACAGTACAATTTTTGCCATCCCACTACGTCATCCTACAAAGCAAAGTATTTAATGCTGACTATAACACCACTTTCTGTGCACAAATGAGACACCCTCTGTGAGCAAAGGATTTTGCTTGAGAGTCTTACAAGATGCTTTTAATTAATTTAATACTTCAACCAAAATAGCTCTCCGAAATTTTCCCCAATTTACAGCCCAGTCTTTAAGTATAGGCTAGCGTACAGGATGTTTTTCGCGTACAACTGAGTAGAATGATGCATTTGGCATACAAGACGTTATTAATCAAGAATACTTAAGATTAATTTTAAACATGACATTTCGTATAGATATCTATTGCAAAGCATCAATCATTACGATCCACCTCTTGTAAATCTATCCTTGATTTAGCTCCCTCTATCATTCAAGTCAAGTTTTTAGCATAATCTATTGCAGTATGCTTACATTTTTCGATACGATTAGATGCTTATGATGCAAAAAAAACAGGTAACTCGACATATATGATTGAGTCATGATGCTATTCCAATGCTCCACTGAACATCTTAAAGATATATGCAAATTTTTACTTTTATTTTGTGGAAAGAATTTGTTCTTACTTTATTTTGCTCTGGTAAGACCTGTGCTGAAAGTGAAATATCCCACATGAATCAGCGGGGGTGTGAGTTGATTGCAAAGCTCTAAAATGATCGGATGGACAGTGCTCTGCTCGCTCACTATAGCGATGAGTACTGCCTTTAAGGTGGGAGTAATTAAGTAGCAAGTTAATGGGGAATATAGATGTTATTTCTGAAATTATTTCTCGGCTCAATTTTGCCCTAAATTTGGTTTGCAAATGCGTATGATGAGGTGTCAAAATAAAGGATCTATATCCATTTGTAGTTATTTATCAAAGGCGCCAACACTTAAGTTCTGCGCATTGACAGTTTAAATAAATACGGATATGTAGAAAATAGGCCAAATCAAGTACAACTTTGCATTTTTCAAAGGAATTAGAAATTTAGCAAATGCTGTCTACTTGTATTATTTAGGTACCGTGAAGACATTGACATATTCTTTGAATTCGCCTGGGGTATGTATCTGCTATCGAGTTGATCCGATTCCATGCTTTATGCAGTTGAATAACAGTTTCACAAATGAAAAATAATGCCATTTTCTAATTTGTCATTCGACTACTAACATACCAATCTAAAATTTTAAAAGGCAATCCGTTAAATTTAAATGACAGTGATTGCAGTTAATGAAGCAATTTAATCGCAATGAAATTTCCTTTTTAATGCTGATAGTTTTAGAAATTACTCAGGTGACATCTTGGGCTGAATAACCTATCAAGTAGTGTTGTCTGTAGAACCTCACTTCTTGAATATTTAGCAAGCGGAAAATTTGTACTAATTACTGCTGATATCCGTGAAATTTATAAATTTGATATTTAAAGGGTTCTAGCACACTTTACCTACGCCGCATTATCTAAAGTGGATTTGCTTTTAATAACTGTGTCAGCACCGTCTTTGACTCTCCACAATTAAAAAATATTAACTAACTAGAAGAGAAATGACAGGATTTTGCCATTGAATTGAAATGAAGTGATCATTCATGCATATTTGTTGCTACATTTTTGCCGTATATATATATCACACTAACTTTAATGTAATATCGTCATTAGAACGTTTTTATTAACGGTTAACCCATGAAGGAAGTAATGCATAATCGGCGTAACTATCGTGTAAGGGAGGAAGAAAACGATGATTTGCCTTACCAACTGCTTCGAATTGTAGCGAATTCTTCATCACAGTGATACGATAGGGAATCAGCATAACTTTAAACATTATCGTGGTTGTTTTAAGGCAGCATTCCCAATAACATGGCATGATGTCTTAACAAATTGTTGAAAGTGCCATAACGGGCAAATAAATGTTTCATTTTGGTTGGAAACCTGTGCGAGCTCTAATCACCTTTAAGGGTTTTGCTGGTAAGGCTATGAAACCAATTAATTTAACTCTATGTAAGGGTGATTTCACACGTTAAAACGGATAGTAGGGATACTTTCCTGCTCATATCAATTCGTCGACTCTTACAGTTAACAGTAGGACAAGTCTACGAGCTATTCAGATTTTGCAAAATGGATATTCTAAGTGTACGTGCAACCACTTAGTACTGCCCAAATTTGTCGCCTTCGCGGCTAAGGATTTTGTAATCATCATGAACAAACTTCGAAAACAATCCGCCAAGTAAACCTGCAATTCATGTTTTCAATGAGTACAAAAGAAAAGAGTTGCTTATTGTGCATGCGAGTATCAATAGAATGAGGACATAGGTATAATATTAACTTTTATTTGTAACATATGATAAGCCGGTCTTGCAAGTGTTCAAAATCTAAACCATAAAGTCTAGGAAAATATATTTGTGGAATGTTAATCATGCATACAAAGATCAGTGCAGGAAAGTAGTCTAAGTAGGTGTGCAAATTTAGAGTTGAATTGTTTTTATC